TTATAATAGTATTATATTTATAATGGGGTTAGTTGTAATCCAAACAGATTTATCTTGTTAGTTTGTGGCAGTAATAAAGCCGGTTATCAAGAAACAAAAGTATCCTTTCTTGATTTTATTTTTATTACTATTATTGTTAATGTTACTTACGAGTGCTTACTACTAAGTTAAGACTGATAATGTATGTTATTTATAATGGGGAACATAATCCTGTTATTGTTGTTTAATTTTTTTTCATGAACCTTATGGCATGATTGAAGGTCATAAATTCAGTTTGGCTATACATAATGGATGCTGAACATTCTGCCAAGAAATATTAGCAACTTTTCTAAAGAAAGTTGAAATAGGATAAAAAAACAAAAAAAAAAAAAAAAAAAACAGCTGTCAAAAGTAAAATATGTGCAGTCTTTTCATAAGAGGCGGATGATGAATATTTGGTTGAACTTGAAATAAATTTTAATACAAGTGTATGCAAATTTGATCCATTCTGTTTCGGTCTATCTTGGTTATGTATGTGTGAGTTTGCACGCCTTATGAGTCTGTGCTTGGCCATAATTAGCTATGTACACATTTTATAAGCAATTTTAGGATTTTGAACATGATTGATGACAACTTTAAGGGTCTCACAACATTCCATACATTGCTTATTCCATTGTTTTGCAATGGTTTAGGCCGAAAGAACAACCTGTAGTTGCCTTTTTTATCAAGGAACAAGCACATACATTTTTATATCTTTCACTGTTTCCTTTTGCTCGTAAAGTGACTATGGAAAGTTATATGAAGGTGAAACTCATTAAATTCTTACAGGGCTTCTGTGATATTTTTATAGGCTCTTCCCCAGAACTTGAGTGCTCTGGCTCATCTTGTAAGTTGCATAATAAATAAGCAAAAGGGGTAAACCAACTGAAAAATATCTTGACGATGCAATTTGAACCTATCGTGTAAAACAGACTAATTTTGGTGACATAATCATAATACTTGCAGGGTTGTACTTCATTCCCAAATTACACAATCGGAGTCATACAGAGGAAGTGTACTTAATTATTAGTTGTGAAATGTGGTTTACAAGTGTATGTGGTTTAAAATATGCTGTCATCTGAACCAATAAATAGAGGTTGTGAAACAAAGGATGCATACGGGTCAATTTGCCACAGCCCCTAATTCAGAGGACTTTAGGCGGTAAGTGAGATCTTCTGTTGTGCAGTAAAGACATCAAATCTTTTAGTTGTCAAGTTTGTCAGTAGGCTACGTGCTCTTTTCATTCTTTCTCTAATGGTAGATTTTTTGAGGAATGCTGTCATATTGACCGATACTTTTCAATCCTAAAATTTTTATTTCTGTTGCAGCAGGGTTATGGATCTTTTCTACTGCGTGATTTTCCTTGCGATGCCATCCAATTTTGTATCTATGAGCAAATAATGATTGGTATATATATTTTCTTAATAAGAGCTCTATATTCATTAAGATATTTCACCTTGTCTGATTTGTGTACTTAATTTTGTATGGCTTAGTATCGAATTTAATAATGAAAGGATGATTTTGTAGAATAACTAAGAGTCTAAGAGAGTTCTTGGAACATATGATTTAAAGATTTATCTTGTTAGTTGTGGCAGTAGATTAAAAGTTAGCTATAGCACAGGAAGTATCAGCTAGGACATCACCAGCAAAAACATAGTTATTGTTTACAGAACCAGAAGTATTAAAACAAACAGGAGATGGCATGTTAAAAATATAGAGTTGATTCACTGCCTCCAGATTGCACCTTGCATCCTAAGCTAATAAGTCCGCTACAGCATTAGAAGTACGAGCTTCAAAGCTAATTACCTATGTTTTATCTATTTCAAGCATAAAAGGATAGCTTCTAATTCAGCTTCGTGGGATGAAGGGTAGATGCTTCTCCAAGTGAAATTGATCTTAGAATTTGGCGCAGTAAAAGCATAATATGGCAGCTTCCTGTTGCCTCTTCTACGATTATTTTCAGACCTGCCACGCTGTGTCTGATGTTGCTCTGCATCTTGGTTGTGTTGGCAGCTCTTCAAGGGAGTCCTTGTCTGATCATTTAGTTTCTCATGTGTACTTGGAGCATCATCACGAGTTTCATCACTAGATGTTTCCTTGGAAAATAAATCCTGCAGACACCAATCTTCCACAGCAACAATTGAAGGTCTGTTACTGTCATAAGGTTCAAGCGAAAATTCTGTTATGAGTTGTTCCATATTCTCACAAATCAGCGTGATTACTTCAGCAGACGAGTCAAATTCTCCTTCACTGTTCTCCATGATATCAGGAATTGTATCAACTCCGAGCAAGAACTCAAAACTTATCATTCTAACCAGATCATTGCCATCAATAATAATCCTCAAAGTAATAGAAGTCCATACATCCTCTGACATTATCCCCTGTAACATGAATTTCTTATCTCCACTGTCAAATTCCCTCAGCACTTCTGTAGGCGGCAGTAGTAATCTAGCCACCTGATCTTGCATAATACTGCAGTAGTAACCTGAATACGTAGATAATCTTGTAGGAATACGGCGATCAAAAATTGGTGTAGACAGATTCTAAGTGCGCTATATTCAGCATTCAGAATCTGTCAACACCAATTCTTAACCGCAGCATTATTATCTTCAGACTTGTGTTTTTTAAGATACTGCACCAAATTTCCTGAACGAAGGTTCTCAGTAATCATGTGAATGGCTCTTTCTTCTTCGTCAACCCAAGATTCATAGCATTTAAAAACTTTACAAGATCGATCATCTTCTAACAATAAAAGCTTAAGAAATTCCTCGTTCTTTTCTAACTCCTTTGTTATATATGTTTTACACCAAGCAATTTATATACCAGGTTCCTTACCTTTGGTATCGCCCACTAGAATCCATCTCGATTTCATCATTGTTGTTACCTCCCTGTGAAGTTAAAGCCATGAGTAACGAGCTAAGGAAACAAGATAAATATGGGAAAAATATATCCTAGGGAATCAAATCAAATATGCTCCTAAATATATTACAAACGATTAAGAAAAGAAAGAGGAATTTCTTAAGCTTTTATTGTTAGAAGATGATCGATCTAATGAAGATTTTAAATGCTATGAATCTTGAGTTGACGACAAGAAAGAACTTATACGATAATATTAGTATAAAAGATAGATCATTTGGTTTCCTAGTATTTAGATAATATTGTTGAGGTGATAAAATAAGTTTGATAGAGTTTGGTAATCATAGCAGCCGTGAATCAAGGGATATATTAACAGTGCCATGCACCGTATGAATGATATAACAACTACAACCTCTATTATCTATATTTCTGTGCATCTCAATCTTATCAAGAACCATTCACATGATTACGGAGTACCTTCCTTCAGGAAATTTGGCGCAGTATCTCAAAAACCACAAGTCTGAAGATAATAATGCTGCGATTAAGAATTGGTGTTGACAGATTCTGAATGACGAATATAGCGCACTTAGAATCTGTCTACACCAATTTTTGGTCGCCGTATTTCATACTAGATTACTACTGCCGTATTATGGAAGATCAGGTGGCTAGATAACTACTGCCTCCTACAGAAGTACTGAGGAATTTGACGGTGGAAAAAGGAAATTCAGGTTACAGGGTTTTTTTTTTTTTTTTTTTTTTTTTTTTTTTTTTTTTTTTTTGAGGCAAGGTTACAGGGGATAATGTCAGAGGGTGTATCGTTATCTATTACTTTGAGGATTATTATAGATGGCAGTGATATGTTTAGAACAATATATTTTGAGTTCAATTGCTGTGCAAGATTGGTGTCTGCAGGATTTATTTTCCAAGGAAACATCGACTGATGATGATACTCTTGATGCTGCTCCAAGTACACATGAGAAACCAAATGATGCTCAAGATCAGACAAGGACTCCCTTGAACAGAAGCCAACAGAACCAAGATGCAGAGCAACAGCAGACACGCCGTGGCAGGTCTGAGGATAATCGAAGAAGAGGCAGCAGGAAGCTGTCATATTATTATGCTTTTGCTGCGCCAAATTCTAAGATTAATTTCACTATTTGCTAGTTTACTACCAAAATAGACTATTTTTATTTATGTTAGTGTGTACTAAATGTGACTTAGAGATACTTTTGAGTCTTAGTTCAGTATATATGTTTGCTTGAGTTTAGGTAGTCTACCTAGATTTTACTTTCCTTATGTTGATTAATTGTCGGTTGAAAGTGTTGTAAGACCCTGAAAGTTGTCATCAATCAAGTTCAAAATCGTAAAGTTGCTTATAACAGGTGTGCATAGCTTAGTATGACCAAGCACAGACTCATAAGGTGTGCAAACTCACACATACATAATTAAGAGAGATTGAAACAAACAGACGATGAGTTTTAATCGTATCTATCAGATATAAGGCTGCCTCTACCACACCACCCGCAACCGCTCCAGCTATAGCACCATCTGTTGTATATAACAATAATAATAAAATTAAAAATTAAAAAAAAAATCACATAAATAGAATACCCACTTTGCAAGACTAATGAAACTATAATATTACAGTTACTCTTCCAGCATGAAATTTAGAAATTGACTAAGAATTATTAAATAAATCAAAATTTGTAAAAAAAAAAAAATAAAAAATAAAAAATAAAAATAAAAATAAAATAAAAAATTATCAAGAAGGAATATATTTGTTTCTTGATAACCGATTTAATAACTGCCCCAACTAAACCTATTATAAATCATTTGCAAGTAACAAGATAAAAAAAAAATACTGTTATAAATAGCAATCCGTTATAAATCATTTGTTCCAAGAATTCTCTGTTTATCCTACAAAATCATCCTTCATTATTAAATCATTTGTTCCAAGAATTTTTCTGTTTATCCTACAAAATCATACCTTCATTTCATTATTAAATCATCTGCTCCAAGAATTCTTAATTTTTCAAGTGTTCTGTTTTAACAAAACTACTTTCATCAACATTTAATCGTAAGAGATCTTTCTTGGGTTCGTCAATTCTTTGTTGCCGTTATTACTAATGACTTCGAGTTCACGAATAAAAGGTCCGATTTCACTGGGAAAGAATCCTGACATTATTGAAGTGGGTTCGAGTTCACGATCCAATACTCGTAAAGCTAGGGAGAGAAGTCCGTCAAGGCAATTCATAAGGTACAATGTAGTCGTAGGAAAAGGGAGCTCGAAGGTAGTTTACGAGGCGTTGGATACATTTAATGGTGTACTAGTTGCTTGGAACAAGATTATGGTGACAAATGCAGACTTAAAGAAAAATGGAAGAATTGAAAATTGTTGTGGAGAACCACAATTGTTGCGAACGTTACACCACGAGAATATAATCAAGTGTTATTGTTATTGGATCAGTAATGATCGTAGATTCATTAACATGATTACTGATCTTGCTCCTTCTAAGAGTTTGAGTAATTACAGAAGGTCACATGAACTTGTTGGTAATGTTACTGCAATCAAGGGTTGGTGTAGGCAGATTCTAAGCGCGTTAGAGTATCTTCACAACCGTACTCCCATGATTTTACACCGCGATGTTAAGGGTGACAACATCTTAATTGATGGGGTCTCGGGCAAGATTAAGCTGGCAGATTTTGGTGTCGCAGTACCTTATGAAGGCGAAACTGATAATGTTGCTGGTACACTCGCGTACTTGTCAGCAGAGGATTTGGAGGGTGAACAGAATGAGAAGAGTGATATATACTCGTTTGGGATGTGCGTGCTACAGATGATGACTAAGGAAGCTGTATACAGCGAATGCAGATCACAATATGAACTTTTTGCAAAGATTAAGTCGGGTGTTAAGCCGGATGCTCTGTACTTTGTGCAAGATAGAATGGTTAGGAAGTTCATTGAAAAGTGTCTGGCTGAGGCGTCTAAGAGGCCCTCGGCAAGTGCTCTCTTGAAGCACCCTTTTCTTGCTGAGACGACGAAACTAAAATGGTTGAAGTCATTACGGAGGCTGTCATTAACTCGAAGGAGCAGTTCCTAGGCTCGATGATTCGGTTCTTTACATTAGTATGAAATTAAGAACTTAGTCTTGATTTTATTTTGTTTATGTCTAGATTATAAATTGTGTCTTTAATTCTGTTAGTGAAAATACTTAGTGTTAAGTGCACGGTGTGCGTGTGTATTACTTTTCCTTACTTAGCTTGTTACAAGGGTCAAGAGTGTTTAAGTGATTGTTGTTCCACGAATTTATTGATTAGTTAGCTTGTTAAATACTTATGTGTTTGAATAAGAACATTGCTGAGTAGTTATATAGTTGATTTTAAAATACTGAGTAATTGATTTTCATAACTTGTTTCACAATTTTTTTTCTTGTGTTGATCACAATAAGAACAACATTTTTTTTTCCGCAGATTAATCCCATTGAAACAAATTGATGGCGGCATTGAAACAAATTGATGGGAGACATAAGGAGTTAGATAATTAGGCCACTCAAACTTGTACAACTGATGAGCAGATGTAATCAATAAGGACCTAAATCTATAAATAGAAAACGCCAAAAATTCTTTATTAAGTGTAAGTGTGTAACTGCTAGTCTAGAAAAATAAAAATATTAAGCTAGATTAGCATTCCTTCAGGAAAAAAACAATAATAAAAAAAAAAAAAAAAAAAAAAAATAGAAAAGGAAAAGAAAGAAAGCAAATGATATTAGTATAGCTGCCACCTTCACATTAATTTTAATGTTAGATGACAAATAAGGGTTAAGGCTATATACTTATTGTGTGATTGTGTCATCTAGATTAAGGTGTAGTTATATATTTCCCTTACATTTTAAAATATTCGCAATGTCGTTACGATATGCACTATTACTTTGAGGCAAGGCTACAGGGGATAATGTCTCTCACTAAATCCTAATTATCTAGTAATTGTAAGTGATTGAGATATACTTCGTACTATTTTAATGAGACTCTCAATACATAAGATCATATTCTAACAAAATGTACAACATGAAATTGCATAGTTTTGGCTACAACAAATTTTCCAGATAAAGTCACAGTGATAGATCTATGTTGGTTTCAATTAGGTATATTCAAACTAGTGATTTTATGAAAAAAATGAAAAGTAATACAAGTAAATTTGATGTGAAAAGATAAATTTTGTCTATATTGTTTTATTTTTGTCTTCGCGTAAAAAAAAATATTTTACCTATAATTTATTATTCTTAAACCTAAAGACATATATTACGATAGAAAAAATGGAGGGAACAATGTTAATAGACTTTCTAATAACGTTTTAAATATTATTATTGATTTTCTCATTAAGCTTAATGGGCTAAACCAACTTTTAAAACTGTGTTGCAAAATGGGCTAGGGTGATATTATTAATAATTTTCATTATCTTTGTTCATCATACGAGCTGAAACGTTGTTGTAAGGACGTGAAGCAAGTCATTCCTTTGAATAAAAGTTCATGAAATTGACTTAAAGAATTACTCTGTATTAAATAAAAATCAAGAATTCCTCAAAAAAAAAATGGATATTTTTGTTTCTTGATAAAAGACTTAATAACTGCCACAACTAACAAGAAAATTATGTTTGGATTCCAACTAACTCCATAATAAATCATATACAAGTAACAAGATTAGAAAAAATAAAATAAAAACTGTTATAAATACTCTATACAATTTTTTTTTATCTACTATTTAGGTAAAACACGATTTCCTTATACATTAGAAATACCTTCCTATAATAATTATATACGAAGTATTCAATTACGTAAAACCAAATTCAGATATTTTGTTCAAGTTGATAGTATAATAGCAACTAAATACAACTCAAAACTAATAAACATCAGCTTAACTCAATCTTATCGACTTATTCGCCTCTCTAATTTGCTTCAGAAGATTTTAACCTTCACAAAAAAAAAAAAAAAAAAAAAAAAAAAAAAAAAAAAAACTAATTGACATCATCAAAACTAGAAAAAATCATAAAACAATAAAAATAAAATAAAAATTACCTAAAATCAAACAAAGGATGGGCAAAGAAGGATGTTGGAAGTTCTTCATAAAAAAATAAGAGTGTTGAGTGAAAGAAAGAAAACAAGAGAGAGTGAAGAGTCACAAATGAAAAGGAAAAAATCTCACATTGGTGGAAGGAAAGGTTTTCTCCTTATTTTTATATTGAACTATGTTAGTACTTGTTAGTTGAGTGGCTTGGAGGTGGATGTTGGACCACACACACGCGCACGCCGGGCCGGGCCGTGGACTGTGGGACTTGGGTCTTGGGGAATGTGATGTGTGGGTCCTTTAATTTTTTGGAGGAATTTTATTTGACAGAATATTAGCCGTTTTCTTTTGATTGTTGGGATTCCCTGATAAATAGTTGTTAAACCCTTGATTACAGCTAAACCGTTACATACATTAAATCTGGACAAAGTTAATCTGGTCAGTTTCTTGGCAACATTCTGTCTCTGATTGTGGGAGCTAACAGTCGGTCGTTTTTTGCTTGATTTCCGACCTTAATTATATGGTTGTTTCTTCCCTCTTTCTTGTTGATCGTTGCTAGCCATCCTCCTCCCTACTGCCTATATAAACCCAATCCCACTTTAGCAAAATACACAGAAAAACAATCATCCCTCTTCTCTCTCAAACATCACTAAACACTGTTCTTTAAGTTCTGGGCAAATATTCTGAATTCCAGTCGGGTTTGTGAGTACACACAAACTCCGGCGTCGTGCTTATCTTGGAGGGCGACCGCTTCTTGTCTACTGTACCGAGAGGTAGCGCGGAATTGTCTTTTAGGTCAGTGGTTCACCATGACACGACTACTGTTTTCTACTTCACGCTTCAAGAGATAAGTTTACTGTTTTATTGCCTTTAGTAACATATCATAATTTTAAAAATCTAAAAGACGATTATGGCTTCCAAATTTCTCATTCCTGATATGTCTAGGTTAGAACCTCTTGATGGAAAAAAATTATAAACGTTGGGTTGTTAGAATGCGTTTTTACTTAGAACAGATTGATGTTGCATATGTTCTTGATGATATTATTGAACCTGTTGATAAGGATGATCTGTCTGAAACTGATGTTAAGTTTGCTAAAGATGATAAAACTTGTAAAGGCATGTTGTTGCATCATATGCCAAATAGTTTGTTGGATATTTATATGGGTTTTATCATGCTAAGGATATTTAGGATGCTTTAGAGAAAAAATATGGGACTGATGATGCTGGTTCTAAACGTTATTGTGTTAGTAAGTGGTTAGGTTTTCAAGTATTTGATGATAAGCCTATTATTGATCAGATTCATGCTTATGATGAGAATGTGTGTATTAATATGGCTGCCGAAGGTCTGTCTATTTGTGATATTACCCTTCCTATTATTCTGATTGAGAAACTCCCTCCCTCTTGGAAGGATTTTCTTAACCAATTGATGCACAAAAAGAAAGACCTTACCTTAGAAGAGCTTGTAGGACACCTCAAAATTGAGGAGAAAAACCGTATCAAAGACAAAGGCCATTCTGTTTTCCCTTCCTCTTCTTCTGCCAAAGCCAATCTTGTTGAACCTAAACCAAACAACCGACCCAAAACTAAAAACAATTATCTTAAGCCTAAGGGGAAAGTTGAGAAATACAAGTTGAAGGGTACCTGTTTTGAGCGTGGGCTAACTGGTCACAAGGCTAAGGATTGCAGGGTCAAGAAGAAAAACAATGGACAGAGACAAGCGAATCTTGTTGAGGATTCTAACGTTATTGTTGTTGTTGTTTTAGAAGCTAACTTTACCGGTAATGCTGCTGAGTGGATTGTTGACACTGGAGCAACCAGGCACATCTGTGCCAACAAGGACATGTTCACCACCTATGAAAAGGTTGATGGTGAAAATATCTTCATGGGCAACTCAGCTTCGGCTTCTATCCAAGGAAAAGGGAAGATCGTTCTCACTCTTACTTCTGGAAAAATGCTTACTCTCAATAATGTTTTTCATGTTCCAGAAATGCGAAGGAATTTAATTTCCGGAAGTTTACTCATGAAAGCTGGACTAAAGCTCTCCTTTGATTTTGATAGATTAGTTCTTACTCGCAATGGGGAATTTGTGGGGAAGGGCTTTTGTAATGGGGGGGCTTTTTACTCTTGATGTTAAAATTAACACTATGAATAAGAATGTTAGTACTTCTTCCGCTTATATTGCTGAGTCTATTGATTTATGGCATGCTAGATTAGGTCACGTAAATATTGATTCGATTAAAAGGCTTAAACATTTAAATTTGATCCCACGTTTTTCTAACACTGATTTTTCTAAATGTCAAATTTGTGTTGAAGCCAAATTTACAAAAAAGCCATTTAAATCAGTAGATAGACAGACTGAAGTGCTAGAACTTGTTCATAGTGACTTGGGTGATTTTAATAATCACGAGAGTAGAGGGGGTAAAAAGTGTTACATTACCTTTGTTGATGATTGTTCACGTTTTTGCATGGTTTATCTTCTCGCCGAGGAAATGTTCCTCAAATATAAATTAAGCTGAGGTAGAAAACCAATTGAACAAAAAGATTAAGAGAGTAAGGAGTGACAGGGGTGGTGAATATAGCCCTGACACTCTTAAAGCTTTCTGTGAGCAACTTGGCATAGTGCATGAGACAACAACTCCCTATTCACCCGAACAGAACGGTATAGCTACAAGAAAAAATAGAACTTTAAAGAATATGATGAATTCTATGCTTATTAGTTCTGGGCTTCCTAATAACATGTGGGGGGAAGCTATTATTTCTGCTTGTCATGTTTTGAACAAGGTTCCTCATAAGAAGCTTGACAAGACTCCTTACGAGATATGAAAAGGTCGAGTGCCAAACCTGAAATACTTGAAAGTGTGGGGGTGCCTAGCAAAAGTAGGCATACCTAGTTTCAAGAGGGACAAGATTGGTCCTAAAACGGTTGATTATATTTTTGTTAGCTATGCTTATCAAAGTGCAGCTTATCGTTTTTTAGTTAAAGGTACTAACAACTCTTATGCAGGTGGCCATATCATTGAGGCAAGAGATGCAAAATTC